CCCCGGGCAGGCTCCGGGGACCCCCCAGCCTGGTCCTGGGAAGAGGCAAAGGGCTGGGCGGCAGTGGGTGGCTGGCTCATAGCATGGCAGATGCAGGGTCTGCTAGCTGGGTGCTGGCAGGCTTGCACCTGTCACGGGCACCGTAGCCAGCCCGTGCCCCTTTAAGCGGTCCGGGGCCGGGAGGGAGGCAGACGAGTTTCCCTGGTGTTGGCCAGAGTGGCCACCAGGGAAACCTGGGGAGGGCTAGCCTCCCACTAGTTCGAATTAAGGGGCTACACACCCCTTAATTCGAACTAGCTAGTTCGAACTAGGCTTAATCCTCGTAAAATGAGGTTTTCCTAGTTCGAACTAAGCGCTCCGCTAGTTCAAATTAAATTCGAACTAGCGGAGTGATAGTGTAGCACCTATTAAAGTTAGTTCGAACTAACTTTGTAGTGTAGACATACCCTCAGGGATCTAGCTGACTGAGGAACCCTGGAAATTCGCCTACCCAAGTCTGAATTCTCAAGTAATTCGATGAGTTGATGCAATGTGATGACCGTTACTGCTTTCTGAGAACCCACTGGGCCTGGGTTGAAGACTAGAATTTGTGACTAGGGTCCTGACATATGCACTATGGCTACGTCTAGACTGGCATGATTTTCCGCAAATGCTTGTAATGGAAAAGTTTTCTGTTAAAAGCATTTGCGGAAAAGAGCATCTAGGTTGGCACAGACGCTTTTCGCAAAAGCACTTATTGTGGAAAAGCGTCCGTGCCAATCTAGACACGCTTTTCCGCAAAAAAGCCCCGATCGATCACAAAAATGGCGGGGCTTTTTTGCGCAAAACAAATCTGAGCTGTCTACACTGGCCCTTTTGTGCAAAAGCTTTGCGCAAAAGGACTTTTGCCTGAATGGGAGCAGCATAGTATTTCCACAAGAAGCACTGATTTCTTATATGAGATCGTCAGTGTTCTTGCAGAAATTCAAGTGGCCAGTGTAGATAGCTGGCAAGTTTTTCTGCAAAAGCAGCTGCTTTTGCGGAAAAGCTTGCCAGTCTAGACACAGCCCTCGGCTACGACTACACGACAAGGTTTTGGCGAAAAGCAGTTGTTTTTGCGCAAAAACCTGTGGAGCGTCTACACTTTAAATGAGCTCTTGCACAATTAAATGGGCAGTTAAACGGCAGAACAGAGTGCTTTTCTGCTGTAGGTAATCCTCCTTTTCTGAGGCATAACTGCTTTTAGCACTACAGCTATTGCACAAGAAGGCAAGTGTGCACACTCCAGAAAGGTTTCTTGTACAAGAAACCCCTGTGGGAAAAAGCACAGGTGCTTTAATGGCCATTCTGTGAATGGCCATCAGAGCTTTCTTACGTAAGAGCATCCATGCAGTATGGACGCTCTCTTGCGCAAAAGCACATGGATTTTGCAATGTGCTTTGAGGTGTGGATGTGCTCTTGCGCAAGAAGTTTTTATGCAAAAACTCTTGCACAAAAGGCTTCTTGCGCAAGAAGCATGTAATGTAGACGTAGCCTATAGGTAGACTTGGTATGTGTGTTAACATGAGCTTAGTGCAGCCATTTATGGGTTACATTATGTTCATTCTGTGAAAACGATTGGTGATAATTCACATACTCCACAAACACATATTCTATCTTTTCTAGGTAAATATATGTGTACCTAACTCTGATTAACCAAAATTTGCTTATGTTTCTGAGGGTGTGATTATTCCTCTCACTACTGTACTCTTGAGTGATCATCATCATGACTCCTTTAAAGCCAGTGAAGCTAACTGTGCACTCAAGAGCTGGGGTATAGCCTTTAAATGCTAAGCTGCTGATCCGTCATCTAACCCCCCCTGTTTATGGTGTTTCAAAGTATTCCCCCCCCCAGTATTCCCCCAAAGAGGATTACACCATGGACATGAAAAAATAAAATACCATTAATATTTTAAATTATTTTAGACTCTCCCTAAATTGTCTGTAGTTTCCATGCTATATTGATTACAGTGGGAAAACTCCCATACCAACACAGGTAATTTCCCTGACAAATGCCAGCAGTCACTGCCAGACATTAGCCTAATGAACTAACAACAATGAGATTACAGGGGTAGGAGCTGGTTTATGAGCCTAACATTTTCACGAGCAACTCATTGAAGCTCTACTAGAAAACTACAGCTAACGAAGCTGGTCAGTGTGCACGTGTGGGATCTGTGGTTATGAATCCTGCAGTCCATTTAAGAACAAAAGCAACATACTTACAGAGCCATAGACTTTTCCTTTCTTATTCATGGCTAAATAATAGTTGCTGTTAATGGATTTAACAGCCACAACTCCAATTTCCACAGATGTTATCTCCAATATGCCTAAAATACAAAAATAAAACAAAATAAATAAATAAGAGGCTTAGCTCAAAGACATTTAAGGAAAGTCTTTAAAGAAAGAGATCTGCCTGTTGCAGAAAAAGGATATCAAATTTAAAATAAATCCCTTCAAATCATGCTAAAATCCAGTTAATATTCTGAACCAACTGGCCAACAAGCGTTAGCAACATTCCTCTCCAAATCACTGCATGAGAATACCCAAACATTGTTTCAATTATCATGTTTCCTTTGCTAACCCTGCATTTAACCCCCCCATAAAATACTTAAACAGCTTCACTCTTAGCACAGATTTCACTACAATTTATCAGAAGAGAGATCTGAACCACAGCATTAAATTAAATCTATAGCACATGTCAATAAAATGTCAGATTTAACCCCAATCTTCAAAAAGAGTGATAAACTATTTATTCCTCATAGGACATTTAGATAAACTAAATCTCTCAGCTGCACTGATCAGTTTTGGGAAATGTATGTTGGCATTCTGGGATACAGTAAGACTAACCACATTATTAGTCCACATTATTTTAGGATATCAGAGAAATACTGTGCCCTGTTTGTAATAAATGTGGTTAGCATTGTTTTGTTCAAATAAGCTTTCTGGGATACTGAATGGCTCAAGGGACCAGTAATGGGATACAGGGTGCAACAAGTCATTGCACCATCAGTGATATTAGTGGTTCCTGCTAATTTTAGACAAAACATCAACAACAAAAACCAACCAAACAAAAAATCATCCTGCAGTGTCAGTGGCAGCTCAGTGGGTATGAAGATGACACTAAAGCTGTCCATGTCCATATTGGTATTAATATCTTGTTTAGAAATCATATTTAAATTCAGGTTAAGGTTTCTGACATGGTTTATGCAGCCAGTGTTGGTGTAACCAAACCATTCTCCCCAACGTATAAACAGAACAGATCTGTACAACATGTTAAAATAGTGGCCTGCTTATACCATTCCTCACCAAGTTGATACTACCAGAGAAATTGTGTGAGTGGTAGCAATGGTGGGAAATTTTAGGAAAAACAAATCATAGGCCTTCTATACTGGCTAAGCAATCTTAGGAGCAAATTTAGTTGGAACTGGGTTTCAGCAAGTTTTCTACAGTGATGAGCTGCCAACATTTGAAGCAATGGGCTCACAACAATTTCCCTTCACACCTGTGATAAATCGTGTTCCAGGATGCAAGTGCTTTCAGAAATAAGAGGTGGAAGGGGCTGGGGAATCCATTTGTTTTCCCACTCATCTAAAAATTCCATATTATAATCACAATTAGGGGAGAAAACAACATAACTTGGAATTCAGTGAGGACATTAGTACTCTAGAATCTAGTTTACCTTGGACCGAAGTGGGACTTATGGTGAAGACCTTATGTGAGGAATATCCATTCCTGGGTCTTTCTTTGATAATTACACTATATACAGGAAAAAGCCCATTGTAAGTGGAGACTGAGTTAGCCCATTAAGCTCTTAGTGTAGGGACATTGGTGGTGTGATGCTTGGAAACTTGCAGCAATGTTTTTTGGTTTGTAGTACAGGAATTCTATCTCTAGCATGGAGGGCTTTGGGAAGAAATCTGTTGTTTGGGTAATGCATATTATAAGCATTGTGAATCTATGTGTGACAGAGCTATCAGGTAATTTTTAATGATGAACAAGCTGGTGTGGTAATTAATATTTACCAAAAATAAAGAAAAACATGTTTCCAGTCAATTTTATGGATTGCTTTTTCTTACTGAAGAATAAGTGGCTTCACTGGTGCATCCAGCAGCCACTGAAGTGAATGGAAGCTTTCCTTTGATCTGTTAGGAGTTGGGTTTTATAATACAGGTTGAACCTCTCTAGTCCAGCACTCTCTGGTCCAGCAACATCTGTGGTCCAGCATCAATTTAGTTAGCTGGATGGTCACATATAATGGGTGTGGCCAACGTTCCCAGGGTCCCATAAAGGTTGTTTTCAGCCACCAGTCCTTGGTGCCAGTGTTCTGTGCTATTATTTAGGTCTCATTTACCCCTAAATGTATTCTAAGAGCCCAGTAAGTATTGGAAGAGTTGGTAATGCTTTAAAAAGGGCTCTAGAGGTGATGCTGACAATTACAGGTGGGTAAGTATAACATCAGTACCGAGCAAATTAGTAGAAACTATAGTAAAGAATAAAATTGTCAGACACACAGAGGAACATAATTTGTTGGGGGAAAGTCAACATGCTTTCTGTAAAGGGAAGCCATGCCTTGCTAATCTACTAGAGTTCTTTTAGGAGATCAGCAAACATGTGGACAAGGGGGATCCAGTGGATATAGTTTACTTAGATTTCCAGAAAGCCTTTGACAAAATCCATCACCAAAGGCTCTTAAGTAAAGTAAGTTGTCATGAGATAAGAGGGAAGGTCCTATCATGGATTGATAACTGGTTAAAAGACTGGAAACAGAGGGTAGGAATAAATGATAAGTTTTCAGAGTAGAGAGGTAGCTAGTGGCTTCCCCCAAGGGTCTGTCCTGGGACCAGTCCTATTCAACTTATTTATAAATGATCTAGAGAAAATGAGGTGGCAAAATTTGCAGATGATACCAAATTGGTCAATATACTTAAGACTAAAGTAGACTGAAGAGCTTCAAAAAGATCTCACCAAACTAAGTGATTGGACAACAAAATGGCAAATGAAATTTAATACTGACAAATGTAAAGTAATGCACATTGGAAAAAAAGAATCCCAACTGTACATACAATGTGATGGAACTAATTTAGCTACAACTACTCAAGGGAGAGATTTTGGAGTCATTGTGGATAGTTCTCTGAAAACATCCACGCAGTGTGCAGCAGCGGTCAAAAAAGCAAATAGAATGTTAGGAATCATTTAAAAAAGGGATAGACAATAAGACAGAGAATATCCTATTGCTTCTATATAAAACCATGGTATGCCCATATCTCCAATACTGTGTACAGATGTGGTGGCTTCATCTAAAAAAAAAATTGGCATTGGAAAAGGTTCAGAAAAGGGCAACAAAAATGATTAGGGTTTTGGAATGGGTCCCATATGAAGAGAGATTAAGAAGACTTGGACTTTTCTGCTTAGAAAAGAGGAGACTAAGGTGGGGGGGAATGTGTGAAAGAGGTCTATAAAGTCATGACTGGTGTGGAAAAAGTGATAAAGGAAAAGTTATTTATGTATTCCCACAATATAAGAACTAGGGGTCACAAATGAAATTAATAGCAGGTTTAAAACAAACAAAAGGAAGTTTTTCTTTACTCAGCTCACAGTCAACCTGTGAAACTCCTTGTTGGAGACTGTTGTGAAGACTGGGAGAACGTCTGCACAGCAACATTATTTTGAAACCACTAGCGTTATTTTGAAATAACTTAGTCTGCGTCTACGCAACGGGCAGTTATTTCAAAATAATGTCGAAATACTGTCAAGCTGGAGGACTTCATACTCCAACTCCTGTAACCTTCATTGTACGAGGAGTAAGGGAAGTCAGAGGAAGAGTGCTCTATTTCAAACTAAATGCTGTGCAGATGCTCCCAATTTCAAAATAAGCTATTTTGAAATGAGCTACGCAATTGACGTTGCTCATTTTGCACAGCTTATTTTGAATTAAGCCCTGCTATGTAGACACACCCAAGGACTTTAACAGGGATCAAGAAAGTTCTAGATAGATTCACAGAGGTTAGCTCCATCAATGGCTATTAGCCAGGATGGGTAGGAATGGTGTCCCTAGCCTCTGTTTGTCTGGAATGGATGACAGGAGAGGGATTATGTGATGATTACCTGTTGTGTTCCCTCCCTCCGGAGTATCGGGTATTGACCACTGTTGGCAGACATGGACCTTTGGTCTGACTCAGTATGGCCGTTCTTGTGTTCTTATATAGATAATAGTGACTTCCTGTATTTCAGCAAATTCTTTGGTTCAGCACTGGTCCAGTCCGAGGATGCTGGACTAGAGAGGTTCAACCTATAATAACAGCTTCCCACAACTAGCCTGATCTTACTGACCCTGCCTGCACAAAAGTCTAATTGGCTTAAACAACAGCCACAAGGAGGAAACAATGGCCCTTCATTTTCCTTTTGAAAACAAAGGGCCATTTTAAAGCAGAAAGCTGAATGAGCAGTTTTCCAACTTTTATGTCTTGCCCATGCTGAGAGTTAAAACAGAGCCCAAAGGATTACTTTTGTTTATTTAAATTACTCTGTTTGTCAAATCTCTTATTACACATTTATTAAGATAACAGGTATGTGTGACTCAATTCTATATCTATAATAAAATATAAATCCTAAGAGACATGAACGATTGAAGTGATCCACATTAATTGAAACTTTGAAACAGCTCTTTCCTTCTACCGTAAGACCCGTGAATTCATATTCTCATCTTCAATAAGATACATTGTCATCATATTCACTTATTTCTGTAATCAAAAGAACTCCATTATGGTGAGATGTGCCTGGTTATCTACTGAGGTCTATGCTAATCTCCAGTGAGGACCTAAAAACACAGTTTGAATAACCACTGAGTGAAGGTGCAATAAAGAGTGGTGCAGATCCACAGACAGTGAGGAGTAGGGAGAGAAGTTTCTGATAATATCCAGAACTCAGCTCTTTAAGTTTCAAGGACTGCAAAACCAGTAACAGTAGGGGGGCCTTGGGAAGCTGGGGGAACTAGCTCCAGTCAGGAAATAACATAGTCAGTCAGATCAGAGAAACCTTATGATATCTCGGTCAACACATACAGGCATTAGGGACTGTTTGCTTGATGTATAATTTGAGTGTTACCCCAACTAGATTCCCTGCCACACAGACAAATCTCTAGCTTGAATTAGGTGGTATTTTAAACTCCAGCTAGCTGGCCTATCAGGATGCTGTTGATGTTTGAGATGGTGATGGAATGAGGATGTAGCTACTCTGTGCTAGCAACCCAATCATTAGTATTGTTTTCTGTTTTGCCACTCCCCTCAAGCGAGGCTAATGAGAGGTGTTAACTCAAGGCATGGTCTAT